TCCACTTACAAAAAATTACAATGACCAACAACTACTTTCAATCTAACTCAATGCTCCAATTTGGTGGAGAGGTTCCATCAAAAGCTCTAACAAAAAAAAAAGATTTACATTTCCATGTCCTTTCGTTATAATCGTTTGGAATTTCAACCAAAGGCATAATTCCAAAAGTATCACCGTTTTTGTATTTATGTGCGGGATGTAACCGCATTTTTTTTTCACTCACTTTCGAAACAGACCGTTTTTTTAACGGTTCTGCCATGCAAATCAGATTTTCGGTCGCTTTTCGACCGAAATATTTCACTCTCATTTATATATTCAATGGGAGAAATTCTTTTCAGAATATATCTACATTGTTCGTATAACAATTCAATGCCAATTTATATTTTTATATATTTATATATATTTTATAAGAAGTCAAATTACGTTTTACGTGAAATATTAGTAACGCTTAACGCGCCCAAGGTGTATGAATATTTACAAGAAAATAATACGGGAAATGATGTAGCTATTCTCGCGAAGGGAACTTATGATAATAGCGGAAATGCGACGCGGGGTGGTAATAAAAAATGGGCTGGCGTGTCGTCGTCGCCGTCTCCTTAAAGCGGTTATATATTGCGAAAATTAATAAAACATATGCGAAGGACCGATTGGCGTGAGGCGAAAAATGACTTTCGGATAATTGTGTTTACACTGAGACGGGGTGGAAGACCGTGTGACCTGAACAAGGCTAAGACTACAACGACTAGTAACTGTCAAGAGATTCAATATATTTTACGAAACTTTCAATATTGTTCCAAAATATTATTAATAAAAGCGAATGAAATGTGGTGTTAATATAAAGTAAAATCAATATAGAGATAGATATTAAAGTTTTTAGTAAGTTTAATCATTAATTCTGAGTTGTTCTAGAACGTAACAATGGTAGGTGGAATGTCAAAATGGGAAGTAGGCGGTTGTCTTTTCTGGTGATTCTGGACGAAAACGTCCATCGCTCTTCTGGCGCTCGAACAGATGTTTTTAGCACTGCCACCCTAAAAATCTTCAAGGTGTTACGTTAATCCTGATTTATGGTATGCTAGGACGCGGGGAACATCGTTTTTGAAATAGGAAATATATAGTGGCGGCGTGTACAGCGAAAAATGGTATCATTTCTCATTTTCCTTCCGGTTTATAACGGCGATGGCGTGAAATAAATTTGTAACCTTGGTTAAAAATCAAACGATCTTGTTTATGCTAGCGGAAGGTTTAATCTCTTTTCAACAACTTTAATGTGGAAAAGTTTTAAAATTTTTTCTAAATGTAAATATTATCTTAATATCCGATACCCAAACATAAATACCGCAATATAAATGATGAGGGGTGGTCGGAGCGACTCTTTAAATATAAGTAATTTCAAATTGAAATTTCGAAGGGGAGAGAAAACCAGGTTTAACGGTTTTCGCATTGGAATTAGGAGCGGAATTGGAAACGATCTTCGCCCCGTCCGTGTATGATTAGGCATTAAGGTGGAATATTAAAAATCAATAGTAGTGAATGGAAACGGAGAATTCATCTTTGGTCCGTCGATATTGTCATCCCTATCGTCCCTATCGCCAAGTTTTGTTGTATTTTCATTAAAAATTAATCCGTTTATTATTAGGCGCAGTCAAGCGTCAATATTAAATTAAGAGTTTTCGTTGGGATTTTCGCCGAACGGTCGAAGAGGGTGCGCGCTGATTGACTACGATTATCTAGATTTAGCAAGTTCGGATAACTTGTTCGGAGTTCTTGCTCCGAAGCTTCAAACATGTTCATCTACAAATAATGTCACCAGAACGAAAACAAGACCACTTCTCCCAGCCAGTACGAACTTGTCGCGCAACTAAACCGCCCCCTTTTCGCAAACCCCCCCAGCACCCCCAACCAACTGTCAGCATCGGTTTCATTCTAACTTTAAATTGATCTACTTAGCACCCTTTGCACTATGTAAATCCATCCCAAAAATTTGCAAACGTCCCTGCTAGCGTCTATCGGACGTATAATTAACAGTTCTAGCGATGCCCTAAGCTTTTTAGGTCAATTGAAAGTTATCGTATTCAAATGTTCACGTTCCGTTATCTTCTTTATGTTTCAAACTAATCTTCCATCTCAAAAACACACTTCACATTTAATTACTACTAGATACGTATTAATTATTTCATTTCTTGAAGATTTAACGAACTCGAACTTGGACATGTTGGTGGTATCGGCACAATACGTTGTTTTAATATTATTTATTTATCATTTATTGCCACAGACAAAAATACAAAATTACATAAGATACACTTAACTTAAACAGTATCAGCAAATGGATCATTTTATCGCACAAGCGATCTCTGCCAAATGACCCAACAGAACAAACAAAAATAAAAATAGTATTTGCTGAATATGGCAAGTAGTGATAATTAGATATTATTAACATCACCAAATAAGATTAAGCAAGAAAAGAAAAACAAAGAGAAAAATAAAGAAAAGACACAAAAAGAGAGATAGAGAGCGACTAAAAGAAACTAAAAGAATCTGCCGGATATCAGTTGCCAACAAGTGAGAGCAGTTGAAGAGAGGAAAAAAAGAGAAAGACAAAGAACAAAGAATCAGGAAACAGCCAGTTGAAGGGCAAGCAAGTGGCTCTTTAAAACATGTCTAAAATTAGTAATTCTAGAAATATTACGAATTTCAGAAGGCAGTCCATTCCACAGCGCAATCGACTGTACTGTAAATGATCTATGATAAATTTCAGTGCTATGAACGGGAAATGTAAGAATAGTATCAGAACGTGAACGAGTAGCAAGCTCATGAGTTGATAATTGCTGGAACCTATCTGATAAGTACTTTGGGGTGCAGTTATGAAGGATTTTAAATAAAATGGTTAATAAACGAAAGGATCTACGTCTCTCACAGGTTAACATCTGAATGTAATTGCGATACGGCGTTACATGCTCAAATCTATTTAGGTCAAATATGAACCGGATACAATTATTTTGTAGCCGCTGCAATTTACTCAGAAGAGTCACCGAGAGATCGGGATAAACCGCGTCCGCATAGTCGAAGTGAGGAAATATAAGAGAGTAACAAAGATTACGACGCACCACAGGAGGAAGAGAGCAGCGAAGTCTTTTTAAAGAGTGGAAGCAAGCATAGACTTTTCTGCAAACATGTTGAATTTGCGGTTTCCAAGACAGTGCAGAATCCATAAGGACTCCAAGATTTTTAACTGTGTTAGAAAACCGTATGACATTACCATCCAGCATCAGATCACTGCAGGCAGATGGATTAATCTTACCAAGTAATTGACGAGTTCCAAACACAATAGCTTGCGTTTTAACTGAGTTCAACTTAAGTCCGTATCTCCGAGACCAGTTCAAGACGTTAGATAGATCGTTATTAAGTCGCACAATAGCTGCCGGAAATTCAGCAACAGTAGTAGTAGTATATATCTGCAGGTCGTCGGCATACAAATGATAATTACACGAGATATAATTAGTAACACTATTAACGAACAAAGAAAAAAGTAACGGACCCAATACACTGCCCTGAGGAACACCACATTTGATTGCACAAGCAGAAGAAATTGAAGAGTTAGCGCGTACGCACAAGGAGCGATGGGAAAGGTAGGATTGAAACCAAGAAACACAGGGGGGAGTGAATCCGTAGGCAGAAAGAGACGCTAAAAGAAGGCTGTGGTCGACAGAATCAAAAGCCTTGCTGAAATCGAGCAGTACCAGCACAGTAACACATCTGTTGTCGCAGGCATACCTAATATCATCAGTAACTTTAATGAGAGCAGTAGTTGTACTATGCCCACTGCGAAAACCCGATTGCAACTCATTGTGTAAATTAAACCTCTCTAGAAATCCTTGGACTTGTAAATAAACTAAGCGTTCAAGAGCTTTTGATAGTACGGATAAAATTGAAATCGGACGGAAATCAGTGTTACATGAAGAGGACTTGGATTTGGGTATGGGAACGACATGAGCAACCTTCCAGACAGAGGGAAATAAAGACCGCTCAAAAGAAAAGTTGAAGATATGAGTTAAGGGAGGAAGCACTATATCCAGGATAGGAAGAAGAAGGTTGAGACCGATACCATCAGAACCCACGCAAGGGGACTTCGAATAAGTCAAAGCATCGCCTACTTCGATCGCGGTCACAAGCGTAAGAGAGAAGGAGCAAGATTTAAGAGAAGTAAGAATTTCATTAATTGTAGCCGCCTTAGTTACGTCATCGATGATCAGGGGAGGCTCTGCAAAAAAGTTTGCCATCGACTCACAATCAAGATCCATCTGGACAGACGGAGAATCAATCACTCCGAGAGACCTCATAGTCCTCCAAAATGTTCTGGGCGCGACTCCAGACAGCCTCTGGTAGAAATAAGATCTCTTAGCATATGATTACAGCGGTTGCGTAAAATTCGATAATTTTCCCGATTACGCAGTCACATAAGAGATCTTATCTCATCACTCAGCCAAGGTGCAGGCTGAGTGCAGGTATTACTGTTAAGACTTGAGTTACATTGGACTTCAGTGTAACTTATCGAGGTACTCCTGTTGAAGTTGAACTGTGAAAAGTTTTGAATTATGATGTTACATCGAATCTGCCCGACATCTGTAAACAAACGAAAACACCTCTTATTACTACACTAATATAGTAGCGCCATCTTTTAGTTAACTTGAAAAGAATCATGTTACAAAAATATTTAAAAATAATTTATTGTGTTTATTTTTGGTAAATTTATTTTATTGGGGTTAAATTTTTGATGATTTTTTTTATTGTAATACTTAAAATAAGAAAGCGCCATCTATTGGGAGTTATCACAACTGTGTAAGTATTTGAAAACTGTTACTATTAATTAATTTAGGTACATATTAAGGTATAACATTAATTTTAAGAAGATTGTAAATGAAAAAATTGTAGTAAATTAAAAATAGAAAGATTAATAAATAAAGATCCATCAAATAAATTTTGACTTTTGACAGTTCGTTTCGTATCTACATTCGTTCTGTTGCCGAATTTTATATATTATAATTGTTTTTCGGCGGATCGGTGCAAAAAAAATAATATAAAAGCCGCGTTTGGCTTGTTATGTCATCTGATGGTGACTTAATATACACGATGTCCGACGCAGAAGATGATTTTATGTGTGAAGATGAGGAGGATTACGGACTGGTAAGACATAACCTCACATTATTCATCTTCCCAAACCGACATAACTTTCTTTAGGAATATTCCGAAGACAGCAATTCTGAGCCAGACGTTGATCTCGAAAATCAGTACTACAACAGTAAATCTCTAAAAGAAGATGAACCCAAAGCGGCTTTGTTCTCCTTTCAAAAAGTTCTTGATCTCGAAGGAGGCGAAAAAGGCGAATGGGGATTTAAAGCTCTCAAGCAAATGATTAAAATCAATTTTAAGTTGGGTAATTTTAAAGAAATGATGGATCGATATAAACAATTACTTACATACATTAAGAGTGCTGTTACACGTAATCATAGTGAAAAATCTATAAATTCTATCTTGGATTATATTTCTACATCAAAAAATGTAAGCATTTCCAACACACTTTAAAATTAACGTCTTATTTAATATTTATTTAGATGGAATTACTTCAAGATTTTTACGAAACAACTTTAGAAGCATTAAAAGATGCAAAAAACGACCGATTATGGTTCAAAACGAACACGAAACTCGGCAAACTTTATTACGATCAAGGCGATTTCAACAAGTTAGCAAAAATCCTAAAACAACTCCATCAATCGTGTCAAACGGACGACGGCGAAGACGACCTCAAAAAAGGCACCCAACTCCTTGAAATCTACGCCCTCGAAATCCAAATGTACACCGAGCAAAAGAACAACAAAAAACTAAAAACACTTTACGAGCAATCCCTTCACATCAAAAGCGCCATCCCGCACCCATTAATTATGGGCGTTATCCGAGAATGCGGAGGGAAAATGCATCTACGCGAAGGCGAATTCGAAAAGGCGCATACAGATTTTTTTGAAGCCTTCAAAAATTACGACGAATCCGGAAGCCCTAGAAGGACTACTTGTTTAAAATATTTGGTTTTAGCTAATATGTTAATGAAATCTGGTATTAACCCATTCGATTCGCAAGAAGCTAAACCATATAAAAACGATCCCGATATTTTGGCCATGACCAATTTGGTAAATGCTTATCAAACTAATGATATCAAAGGGTTCGAAGCTATTTTACGAGAAAATCGGGAAACTATTATGGACGATCCTTTTATACGTGAACATATTGAAGGTAAATTTGGGTAATTAATTAAAAATTTTTTACCACCAAAATTATCAATATGTATCATGGTTGTGAATCACTAAAACGTTTCAATAATGATTACATTCTTTAGATGTTGTAATATTTGTGATGTGAGTAAAGGTGTAGTGAATTCATTAAGAGTTATTTTTGAATATTTTCGTAATAATCTAGCTGATAACATTATCAGTGATGAAAGAAATATTTTCAACATTGTTTCCTCCAAGAGTACCAATTAGGTTACAACTATGACTCAGAAATGTTTCTTTTCGAATTTTATGCTCTCTTCTTCTGTGTGTTAAACCTCCAAGTTGAGCGATAAGAATATAATTAATTGATGCTTAAAAACTTGTTCCCACATTTATAATAATCAAATGACCTTGGCAAAACTAAGTATTTAGCTTTATTAAGCCGAAATCGCTTGCGCTTCAATGTAGTGACTAATTTTGGGTTGATGTGGTATTAATTGTCACATCATATTAATTGTTGAGCCTCGCCCGCAAGCGACCTCGGCTCATTCATGAAAAATACAATGTTTAAGATGGAGAATATATGATTTCGCCGTATTAAACCGAGGTCGCTTGCGGGCGAGGCGTTCCAATGTACAGAGCAGGTTTGGGTTGATATATTAATTGTTGAGGAGCCTCGCCCGCAAGCGACCTCGGCTCATTCATGAAAAATACAATGTTCAAGATGGAGAATATGATTTTGCTTTATTAAGCCAAGGTCGCTTCAATGTAATGATCAGTTTTGGGTACATATAACATCAATTGTTGAGCCTCGCCCGCAAGCGACCTCGGCTCATTCATGAAAAATACAATGTTTAAGATGGAAAATGTATTATTTCGCTATATCAACCCGAAGTCGCTTGCAGGCGAGGCGCTTCAATGTATTGAGCAGTTTTGGGTTGATATCATATTAATTGTTGAGCCTCGCCCGCAAGCGACCTCGGCTCATTCATGAAAAATCCAGTTGGAAATGTATACTTTTGCTTTATTAAGCCAAGATCGCTTGCGGGGGAAGCGCTTCAATATATTGAGCAGTTTTGGGTTGATATCATTAATTCCTCGGCTTATTCATAAAAATACAATGTTTAAGATTTAGAATATGATTTTGCTTTATTAAGCCAAGGTCGCTTCAATGTAATGATCAGTTTTGGGTTCATATAACATCAATTGTTGAGCCTCGTCCGCAAGCGACCTCGGCTCATTCATGAAAAATCCAATGTTTAGCGTGGAAAATGTATGATTTCGCCATATTAAGCCGAGGTCGCTTGCAGGCGAGGCGCTTCAATGTATTGAGCAGTTTTGGATTGATATATTAATTGTAGAGCCTCGCCCGCAAGCGAACTCGGCTCATTCATGAAAAATCCAGTTGGAAATGTATACTTTTGCTTTATTAAGCCAAGATCGCTTGAGGGAGAAGCTCTTCAATATATTGACCAGTTTTGGGTTGATATCATTAATTCCTCGGCTTATTCATAAAAATACAATGTTTAAGATGGAGAATATGATTTTGCTTTATTAAGCCAAGGTCGCTTCAATGTAATGATCAGTTTTGGGTACATATAACATCAATTGTTGAGCCTCGCCCGCAAGCGACCTCGGCTCATTCATGAAAAACCCAATGTTTAGCGTGGAAAATGTATGATTTCGCCATATTAAGCCGAGGTCGCTTGCAGGCGAGGCGCTTCAATGTATTGAGCAGTTTTGCATTGATATCATATTAATTGTAGAGCCTCGGCTCATTCATGAAAAATCCAGTTGGAAATGTATACTTTTGCTTTATTAAGCCAAGATCACTTGCGGGGGAAGTGCTTCAATATATTGACCAGTTTTGGGTTGATATCATTAATTCCTCGGCTTATTCATAAAAAATACAATGTTTTAGGTGGAAAATGTATGTTTTCGCCTTATTAAGTGGAGCTATTGTCTAATTTTGCGTTGATATGGTATTAATTGTCAAGTTTTAGCCAATTTTATATGCAATGAGGATTAAAAAAGAGTTTTTTGTTTCAGATTTGTTACGTAACATTCGAACACAAGTGCTAGTAGAACTAATAATGCCTTATACTAGAATTCAGATACCTCATATAAGTCGTGAGTTAAACATCGATGAGGAAGATGTAGAAAACTTATTGGTGTCTTGTATTTTGGATAAGTAAGTCTTAATGTAATATAATTACGTTTAAAACTAATTTTTTTTTCTAGTACAATTCTAGGTAGAATCGACGAAGTAAACCATGTATTATTCTTAGATCACTTAACGAACATAAACAACACACGATACACGGCCCTTGATAGATGGACCAATCAATTGGCGAGCCTTCATGTTTCCGTGGTGAATAAAATGGCGTAAAATCCTCATTGAAAAGGTGTTTTAAATTTTTTGTGAGAGGGTAGAGGATTGAACGCGAAAATTGAACGCTATTTGAAAGTAAATTACCAAAAATTGTATTTTTCATCTAGAAACACTAATTTTAAATCAATACGGTTATATATATTTTTTTTAATTTGTACATTTAAGGTACCTAAAATATTAATTAAACGCCACTTGTAGGTAAAAGTTGTAATTTAAAATTAGTTTTTCTATTTGATGAGATAAGATCATGGAACTTAAATCTTGTTTTATATTTTGGTGATTTACTTTTGAATCGGTCTGTAAACTTTTTTAACGAAAAATTAAAAAAAATTGTATTTAAAAGCTACATGTTTTTGCTGCAGAACCATTTTTCGATTTATTTTCCTAAACACAAGCACACAAAGAAGAAAGTTCATGATAAAAATGTGATATAGCTCTAAAAAACTATGAAATAAAAAAATCTTTAAAGAAGAAATCCTCTTAAAAATAATAATCAACTCGCCCAGATCATTTACTCATTTTCCACACAACAAAATAAAAATTGTAAACAAATTTTTGCAAAAACCCTATCAATATTATTAATTTTTTGTCTCAAATATTAATTTCTTTGTGTTCGTATTTCTAACATTGCTAAAAATAACTGGATTGAAATTAATTTACAAAGTTTTTAATTTATAATACTTTTTTGTTTTTTTTCTATGTTAATAATATTCAAGTTGCTGTATCATTTTCTTTTGTAAAGTAAATAAAGTGATATTTTCCAAATGGATTTAATTTGAACAATCATTAAAAACCTGACCTGAAAAATTAAATAATTAAAGACGTCATAAAATACCTCAAACAATTAAAGAAATATTACACTTCAACTAAAGTGTAATAAATGTATTTCAAATAACAGTACTCAAATACATTTCTATGCATACGATTTTCGTCTTTAACAACCTCTGCCTTAAGCCTCAAATTGCTTAAAAGTAACTTTAGGTATACATTTAAGTCAGTGGCGTTGGTGAATAACAGCAGCTGACCCCACTTTGTAAATACACAAGTGAACTAAATTAATTTAAAACATAAAATATGGGTGTAACGTAAATAATTTTGATAATGAACGAATCGTGTTGTAAAATTTTGGATTTTTGTCCAATTTTTAACGTAAGACATCAAATTCATCCGAGAGATGCATCAGGACCGAAACATAACGAATTTGTTAGGATTGATCGGAAAAAAACGTTGAGGGTGATTCATGTGAAACCGGAAAGTGAAAATTTACCGAGGGTGAGTTACGAACATGAGAAGAATAAAAGGAAAAGTAATAATCGACATTCGATTACCGAAGAATACTGGTTTACACGCTGGAATAAACCTTTAAAAGGGGGAAATTGTAATTGTTCTTTTAGAAGATCTCAAAGATACTCAAAAAATTCGTTTATTAATAAAAGTTTTTCATCAAATGATGTAAGAATTTCAAATTATGATCTTCCAGCAACAAAAATTGTGGATGTTGAGACTTTTGTGGAGAGATTAATCCAAGATACTTACTTTGAAGCTTTACAAGAATACTTGGTTAAGGTGAAAAACATTGGAATTGATAACTTAGCATTTCAAACGCTGGACGAACTTGATGGGGTGATGCTACGAAGGAAATTTGACTCCCCTGCTGTGCTTGAAGTCGAATGTATTACTCAAAATCAACAAGAAAAAGAAAAACACAAAAAATGTGATGTACATAAAAGCAATTTAAAAAAAAAACCTATTGTGATCTTATTGCATGGTATTGGAAGCACTGCTGATGTCTGGTGGAACATCATAAATAAATTACAAAAAGCAGGATTTGAAATAATCGCCCCTGACATGTTAGGACATGGTTATAGTGCAGCTCCCAATCAAATTGGAGCTTATAAATTCAAAAATTTGTTGCGATATACTTTAGAAGTTTTTGACAAATATATTTCTAATGAAGGAAAAGCCATTGTTATTGGACATTCATTTGGGTACAACAATATTTTAATTCTTTAATTTAATTTCAATTTCATAACACATTTTTAGATCAAGTTTAGCAACAGCTTTAGCAAGATATCGAATGCAACAAGTAGTGCAATTAGTTTTAATAAGCGGAGGTGGTCCCACACCTTTAGCTGCTCCAACTGAAGTTTCTGATACATATTGGGATTGTGCAATGTTAATAAAACCATTCGTTTTCTGTGGCCTCAAAAGGTAACTCTTAAATTATTTACTTTTAATTATTTTTTTGTTAAAAAACAGGTTCTTTAAGGAGCTTTTTCTATTCGTCAAGAGGAAAGCATTTTAAACCATGCGAGATAACTCACGGGATACCCGCTTACGTTCTTAGTTACATTGAAAAGGGACAATGTTGGCCTGAAGGTGATGGAGCGTTCCACCGGAGAATTTTAATTCCAACCTTATTAGTCCATGGTTTACAAGATACCAATGTTACATTGGTTCAAGAATGTGAAATGGAAAGGGTAAACATAAATAAATAGCTTATTAAGTAGATTAATTCATTTTTTATTGTCATTTTTAGACTATTCCAAGAGCGTTTTTAGAGTTAATACCAAATGCTGGACATATGTCGATGTTAGAAACTCCAGAGCATTTGAGCCACATGATCATATGCTTCCTGGATTGGTGGAGTCGTTGAAATCAAAGACAAGATTAATGTTATTAGAGAAATCCGTCCATCACTCAATCAAAACAGAATTATATGTAGAATTACGCATATTTCCAAAATGCAATTAAATGTTGAGTCAAAAATTGAAACACCAAATATAATGAAATTTAGTATACAGTAATATAATTAGACAAAATCATTACTCTCTGTCTTAAGTAATGGGTTTTGCATAAATACAAGTTGCAATTAATATTGTATCAACCCAAAACTGGTCACTTAATTGTAGCACCTCGACTTCTTGAAGCAAAATCATGCATTCTGCATCTCAAACATTGGTTTTTTTAAAGTAAAAATTGGTCAATCAGCCTCAATTTGATCACTATCATGGTTTCATTTTTTTAATCAATGCCTCAAATGTTAGTGCTGAAATATTTGATGCGTTTTGGAAATAAGCTAAAATATGGTGTTCATTAAAAAGCTGGTATTAAGGAATAAACAAATGTAGAAACCCTTCATTATCAAATAGTATTATTAACATCATTTCTTAGTATCGTTTTTGATTCCTTGATACCAACATTTTGCGATACTATATAATTTAAAAAATCAGTATTTTTAGAATTAAGTATTTTCAAAAGCAAAGAAAAAACGTATTTTTTATATTCTTTTGCAACCTTTATAATGTTTATTGTAATTAATAACACAATATTTTTTTGAATATTAATAAAGAAAGGATTACAATAAATTACGTTTTATTTAAAGGATTTTCGGGTGATTTTTGCCATTCTTTAAAGATCATCTGTTTCAATTGAGAGAGGCGTAAACTTGGATTTTCTGCCTTCAGTTCCGCCAATCTGCGCTCTTCATAAGCAGTGTAAGCAGCTTTCATTCTCTTCTCAGGATGTTTATCCACTTTATCCTGAGCTGCTGAGTTTACACTTAAAATAGAAATAGCTTCAGTTACACTTCTTGCTTCTTCACCTTCAACCATAGCGCGATTGATGTTTTCTTCTAAAGGTATAGTTAAATGCGTCTCAATTTCTTTTTCTTTCTCCTTTTTAACCGGTTGCTTAGCTTGTTCAATTTGAGCTCGGGTTATTTTAACAGGTGGTGGTGGTTTAGAAGGAGCTTTCTTTAAGGACTCCATTTCTTTTTCTAATAAAGCTTTTGCTTCCGCTTTTTTTTCTAGTTGAGCTTGCTTCTTTTTTTCTTCTGCTTCTTTTCTTTGTTGTTTTTTAACAAGTTGTTTATCATCATCTTTCCAATAAGCTTCTTCTATTTCTTTTTGCTTTTTGGACACTTCAGCATCCTTCACTGCAGCTTTTCTTTGCCTAGCAGCTACTGCCTTACTATTCTCCCCAGCAAACTTTTTAGGCATGATTGTGAAGTGTTAAGACATAACCTAAAAAGTGTAAGATGTTTACTTGATTAATAGGAGCGTTGTTTGAAGTGATTTAATGTGGAAAATATTGAGTTTTAACAACAATATCGTGAATAAATCGATTCTGGTTAATTCGAATAATAAATTTATTGAAATGTCGAAACAAAAACATAACAAAAAAAATGGTGGAAAAACAAATGGAAACTTGGTAAGAAAAAACAAAAAAAATATATATATATATATAACATACGTGTTAAATTGAGACTCCAATAGGTTTTTGTGGAATTATTTATTCTTGACATAACCTTATTTTAATCAGTGTTGCCAATTTAACGATTTTTGTTTTTTCATCGCTAGGAACAACCAAAAGATGGCTTTATAAGTGAGGATAAATCGAAGGATATACTATTAAATATTTTAGCAAAACCAGGTGCGAAACAAAACAAAATAACGGGTAAGAATAAAAAATAATCAAACAGGTAGGCAACACAAAAGCCCAGAAATGACTCAACCACCACTTTTATTTTATAGAAATCACAATAGATGGCGTGGGTGTTCAAATTAATGCTCCACCTACGGATGGTGAAGCTAACACTGAATTGCTTAAATATATTTCTTCTATTTTAGGATTGCGAAAGAGTGATGTTCATTTAGAAAAGGTGAGAATACACATATATGTACAACGTAATGATTAATTCTTATATAGGGTTTCAAATCTCGCCAAAAAATAATCAAAATATCAGGAGATGCGATAAATCTGCAATCAGTTAAAGAAAAAATTCGAAAAGAAATGGAAGAAAACTAACTTCACTTTGCTATATATTTATTACAACAAATAAATTTGTTTACTCTTGATTTACAATCAAAATAAGAATAAAATTAAGATTCAATCACAAAAGGTGGTTCCCCTTCAGTATCCATGTAATAATCTCCAATAGCACTACAACAAAATCATTAATAAAGCACAATTCAAAATTTCCTTTATATAAATTACCTTGTATCAACTGGCCATCCTCCCCAATACGATTGGGAGTTATCACTACATCCACCATCTACATAATCTTCATAGGAATTGCATTTAACGGCCATAAACGCTGAGCTATACGTGTACAAGATCATATCTTTGATCAAAAAGTGTGAACACGTTCCGATTATGTCTGGTCCGCATCCTGGTTGTTTAACGCCTCCGTTTAAATAGAAATCGGCGTGCCCCACCGAATAAGGATACCCCAAAAAGCCAGAATTGACGTGAATGACTTGTACAAATTGAGCGTCGGTGGTATCCAAACGATCATCAAGATTGTCCAACGAGAAACCTGGCCAAGCTGGGTCTAAAGCAACGATAGAACCTAATCTTCCCGATGCGGTACGTCCAATACGTCCAACTAATTGACCACCAAGGCTGTGGCCCATTAAGTTAACGGTGGAGGCGTCAACTTGATAATGATCAATAATTTCGTTGATTGCCTCTCCAATTAAATCACCTACGGGGTTTACATAGGATCTAGCTAAAGTGTAGAATTCCCCAGCTGGCCCACTCCAGTCTAAGCAAAACACGTTCAAATCATTCGAAGCGAGAATGCTATCTTTAACACCAGTTACACTGGTACTCTCTCCAGATCCACCCCAACCATGAGTTGTAAACAAAGATGGCAAATTTGGGTCGAAAACTCCCGCTTCGAAAAGCAAATCCAACTCTTCACCGTTAAAAATAAAAGGTTCATCTTTGTTTAACGGCGTATATAAGTAAAAAGTAAAGTTCCTTCCATCCACTGGATCAATGATTTTTGGGGTACTTTGCGTATCAACTAAATGAACTTTTCCTTCATCATCCGGAATAAACCAGAATCGACGATTAACTAAAAAAATACGTTTTTACTATGTATTGTTGAAGAATAAACGTTTTTAATACCTGGTAAAGCTGTGGCAAACGCCAAAACCGCCAACACTAAAAACAACTTCATGATTGCAGTTAAACTCACTTGAGAATAAATTTATATAGGCATCCTCAGAAATCATTGTTTTCAGCAGTGATCTGATAATCACGATCGATTCTAAAGTGCTTGAAAACTTTAGATAGCACATCTCGAGTGGTGCTATTGTGATTTTAATACCTTCACAGCAAAAAATGACGAAAATTGCGATAAAAATATACTTAAAACGTTAATTTATTTTAAAAAAATAAAAAAAAATGTCGATTACTTTGTTTTGAGAAGTTCGTTAAATCCCAAATCTTGATTAAAATCTCGAAGTAATGAAATCTTTTATAATTATGTATTTAAAATTTTTTAATTGTTTAATTAATCATTATTCGACGCTTGCGTTCCTTATATATACAATCTCTCTTATAAGAAGATAGTTATTTTCAAATCGCCGAGGTCGCTTGCGGGCGAGATTTGATAAATTAACACAAAATTGTTAATCTTAGAGGATATAGCGCCTCGCCCGCAAGCGACCTTGGCGATTTGAGGCGAAATCGTTCCTAATATATCTTGATTAAGATACAAACTCTCTTTTAAGAAAATATTTATCCTCAAATCGCCGAAGTCGCTTGCGGGCGAGGCGCTACGTTTGAAATATCAACACAGATGACAAAATCGTCAACTTTGGAAGATCTAGCGCCTCGCCCGCAAGCGACCTCGGCGACTTGAGACGAAATCGTGCCTTATATATCTTGGTTAAAATATAAACTTTCTTATAAGACGATTTTTATCATCAAATCACCGAGATCGCTTGCGGGCGAGGCGCTACATTTGATATACCAACACAAAATCGTCAAACATGGAGGATCTAGCGCCTCGCCCGCAAGCGACCTCGGCGACTTGAGACGAAATCGTGCCTTATATATCTTGATTAAGATAATAAACTCTCTTATAAGACGATTTTTATCATCAAATCGCCGAGGTCGCTTGCGGGCGAGGCGCTAGATTTGATATTTCAACACAAAATCGTCAAACATGGAGGATCTAGCGCCTCGCCCGCAAGCGACCTCGGCGACTTGACACGAAATCATTCCTTATATATCTTGGTTAAGATATAAACTTTCTTATAAGACGATTTTTATCTTCAAATCGCCGAGGTCGCTTGCGGGCGAGGCGCTAGATTTGATATTTCAACACAAAATCGTCAACTTTGGAGGATATAGCGCCTCGCTCTCAAGCGAACTCGGCGATTTGAGGCGAAATTGTTTCCAGGTCGCTTATTCACCGGGTATTTATTTACAAACTCATTAATTTATAAACTTTATTTGACCAAAAAAAAAATTACAATTTTTTTAACCCATGGCAAACGGAGAATTAGAACGCGTTTTTAAAAAGTAATCACCAGAAGCCCTAAAAAAATAATAAAATAAAAAATATCACCATGACATAATAATATTTTTATGATCCTTACGATTTATCAACATGAAGATGTCCCATTAGTGACTTATGGTTGGAGTTACACATATGTTGTTCAAAATCGTCCATTGATCCACATAGTCTTGAATGAAATGCCGATTTATAAATTGATTCCGCATAAAATTCGTATGCCCTTGCATGTGAGCAAATGCCAACTAGATCCAAGCCACAACCAGGTTGGGTTTTTCCACCATTAGGATAATAATCAGCGTGTCCTAAAGAGCTCGAAAATCCCAGCCATCCACTGTTAGTGTGAATAACATGGACGAATTCGCCATCAGATGGATCTATTCTATCATCAATTTTTGATACTGTGTATAAAGGACCAGCTGGATCTAAACCAACAATGGATTTAACGAGACCGTTGACTTTAGCTCCTGCACATCCAACTAAATGCGCACCAAGAGAATGACCCACAAGATGAAATTTTTCCGCTTTGATTCGATATGTTGTCATTAACTTGTTGATAAAATCCCCGACGAATTCTCCGATAATGGGTACCGCAGCTCTAGCGCTGAAATAATTTAAATTCGCCGGCCCACTCCAGTCGATTATAAATAAATTAACGTTGAAATGTTCTAAAATAGCCGATCCTATGATGGTATTTACAGGACTTTTAGCGTGGTTATTCCACCCATGACTTACAAAGACGTTAGGAAGTGAAGCATTAAATTTCGAACGAGAAATATTAAAATTATTTGCTGGGATTGTATCTGGATGTTTTTTTGATTTTTTTGTGTATAAAAGAAAAGTTAAATCATCTAAAGTGATGGGACGTCTTCTTGGGTCGGGTTCAAATAAATCGATACGTTCATATCCTCCCATTCCATCATCAACATAAATATATCGCACACGATTTGGATCCTCTTCTTTGGGGTCATATTGACGCTGTACTTTTGTATTGGCATCAATCAAAGCTTTAATAAAAAATGATAATATTTAAAAAGTTCACTTATGTAAATATCCTCGGTGAATGTGTATTTGGTTTTAATGGCAAATTTTGTCGAATACAAGCAATGTTTACATGCGTGGGTAGCTGTTTAAATTGCGCTCTAAATACAAATGTAATTTCCGCGGTGAACGAAATCGTTTTGAGCTGACAAAGAACAAAATTGTTTTGCAAGAAATTTCAAAATGAAATTGCAAAAACATAAATTTATATTAATTGTGTCAAACGGTTAACACAGAGATGAAATACTTATCATAAGTGTTGTATTATCAATTTCGATAACATAAAAGAATGGCTATTAAAATATCTTTCTATTAACAAAGATCTTATAATTAGACGTTTATCTTAAAAAGGGAATTCAAGGTTACATTAATTAAAAAAAACTTACCAACAGCAAAAATTAATGTTAAAACCGCTATTATATATCGTCTCATGATAGTCGTGGAACACATTGTTGACTTCGAATTTATAACGCAACTTTTTATCGACCTAATCTTTTAGATAAAACTCATGTTAGATTTTATATTCAAAAAATATCAATTTTTATATGGAAAAATAAACAACAAAAGAAATAGAATGCAATGTTATTATTTACTGTATAACAATAATAATACAATCACTGAACAATTAAAACTTTTAATATTTAACCCCTTGCGAATGGAGCGTTGTTGTTTGTGGCCAAAAAGTAATCACCGCGAGCTCTAAAATTAAAATAATATATTAAGTAATAATTTATATTAAAAAAATTCATCAACATACGTTCTATCAACTTCGAATTGCCCCATGAAAGATCTATGATTACCAGTGCATCTATTATTATTCAAATCGTTCATAGAATCACATCTCCATGAAATGAATCTTCCAGTTCGGACTGATTCGGCAAAGAAGGCGTGTGCTCTAGAATGAGCACATGATCCAGCTAAATCAATGCCACATCCCGGTTGGGAACGCCCACCATTTGGACGATAATCAGCGTGTCCACTAGAAGTTCCAAAACCAAGAAGACCATGGTTGGTGTGAATAATTTGGACAAAAGCAGCATCGGTTGGATCGATCCTGTTGTCGATGTTTCCGACAGTGAAAAGAGGTCCAGCTGGATCCAAACCAACGATGGAATGGACGAGTCCGTTAACTCTAGCTCCTGCACATCCTGCTACGTGGGCGCCTAAAGAATGACCGACAAGTTGAATTCTATTCAAAGGAACATTATGAGTTGATCTGATGCGGTTGATAAAGTCTCCAACAAAACCACCAACAACTGGGACTGCGCTTCTTGCGGTTGTGTACATTTGGTTAGCTGGTCTGCTCCAATCAACAACGAAAACGTTGACGTTGTTGTTGTTTAAGATTGCTGGTCTAATAGCGGAGTTGACTTGACTTCCTGCGTTATTGTTCCAACCATGAATAATAAACTTAATAGGAAGGGATGGGTTAAAGTTGGTGTTAGCTAAAGCGTTGAAGTTGTTTCCTGGAACAATTTGAGCTTGATTAGGATTTCTTTGGGTAAAGAGGTGGAAGGTGACATCGTTGATTGTTGCTCTAGGTGCGGCTTCGTCTACTTCGAAAAGATCTACGAGTTGCAAACTTCCATTCTCGGCTTCTTGGTAAATGTAGCGGATTCTGTAAGGATTTTCTTCTTCTGGGTCGTAATACCTCTCAGTGTCTTCAAACATTTCCAAAGCTTTGAAATAATAAATAAGGATTTGAAATAATTTCGTTTGAAATTAAAAACTTCTTTTTACCAGGAACTGCAAAGGCACTTGCCAGTAACGCAACCAAGATGAGTAGCTTCATTGTTGGGCTGGTGTGTTGTCCGGTCGAACGATTTTTCTCCTTTTATAGTAAACCCATATCAGATTAACAAGCAAAAAAGATTACTATTTATTCATTACCTTTTTAATCTTTTAATCGCTAAAAGTATTTGATAAGAAAAAAATTGAAAGGATTGTTTTTTGCAAATGATGATTAAAACCGATAATCACAAAATTTATTTTATTAATAAATTGTTATTTTTGTACACATCATAATTAACCTAAAGCAAACGGAGAAGATTCAGCGGTATCTAAATGGTAATCTCCACCTTGAGAACTATCTAAAGGCCATTGTCCAAAAATAACTTCTTCGTTTCCATCGCAAATTCCGTCTAAGAACTCGTCATAACTTGGGCAATTAAGAGCTTTGAAGTTTCCGGAAGTTAAAGATTCAACGTAGTAATCAACGGCTCGCCCATGAGAACATGATCCAGTTAAATCGGGTCCGCAACCAGCTTGTTTGCTACCTCCATTAAAATAAAAATCAGCGTGTCCAATAGAAGAACTAAACCCTTGAAATCCCGAATTTGTATGGACGATGTGAACGGTTTTACCGTCGGTTGGATCTAATCTAGTATCCACACTATCTAAACTAAATAATGGGCGAGCTGGGTCAAGCCCGACGATTTGATCAACTTCCCCATCAACAGCAGCTCCAATACAACCAACAACTTGTCCCCCGAGACTATGCCCAGCTAACAAAAAGTCAATTGCATTTAATTGAAAATGAGAAATGATTTCATTGATGTAACCCCCAACGATTTTTCCCACTAGCGGCACGGCGTATACAGATTCAGTGTAAAATAATCTCGAATGGTCGTTCCAATCAATAACAAACACGTTCAAGTTCTCGCCTTGATCAAATAAAGCGTTTCTGATTTGTCTATTTAATCCACTAGTAACACTTCCGTGCCAACCATGAGAGATAAAAAGATTTTTATTATTTGGATTATAATTTGAGCTTAATAAATCATCTAAATTCTCGACTGATAACATTACACCATCTCTGTTTTCTTGAGTGTATAAATAAAGAGTTACATTTGATTTTTCAACAACAGTTATTCTCGGTTCTTGACGCAAATTAACCAAATGTAATTCCCCCTCTTCATCAGTTATATAAACGTATTGTTTTGGAATCGGGTTTTCTTCATCTGCATCATATCTCCTTCCATTTTTGATAACCACTACAATTTTTAGAAATTAATCATTGTTGTATTAATTGTTGTAACTCACCAGAAGATGTGGTTAATGCAACGATTGCGGCGAGTATTAGAAATACTTTCATGGTTGCTTGGAAAGTGAAACTAACTACGCGATCTTCAATTAATTTATATAGACGGCGTGATATAAAAATAAATTAGTATCTGATAAGAGATGTCGATGCAATAATTAGTACTCGATGTCTTAGACAATAGTACTTCAAGCTCGCATGAATTAACTGAATAAGATTAGATCAACGAGGAAAAAGTTTTTAATTACTGATAGCATTTTATAACATGTATTTATTTCATGTGTTCTATAACTTATTAATTTTGAGTAATGACGTTAGCTGCTTAATTTAAGTGGCCCCAACGAACTATTTTAAATGATCTTGAAATTATGCAAATTTTTTGGTAAAACATTGAACAATCTGAATGCAGCGCCTCGGTCGCAAGCGACCTTGACTTAACTAATTGATTAATCCGAGGCGCTATAAGTGTTACCACACTGATAATGTATTAATATTAATATAATGAATAAAAATTAAAAAAATAAATAAAAAAAGGTATTTGTTTATTTATTTACTTTTCAAACTATTTGATTGATAAGAGATTTCTCAAAGATTTACAAAGTTGTGTCTATGAGAATAATCTGTTTACTATTTTGAGGTATGCGAAACTTCTATAAACACAAATACAGCCATAGATAAGTTTCGCTATGACATTGAAGGATTGAAAAATATCAACTTCCTTAACGGATTATAAAAAAATAAAATTTAATGTTCATGTGCAATTTATTTCGGAACAATTACAAGTAATAAGAATACATTGAAGAATTATTGATGTTGTTTCTTGTGTTTCTTTTTATCTTCGACTTTGGGAATTAAAGTGTCGAAATGATTATTGAATTCATTTTCTAATTCATAAATACAAACTCTATAGTTGATGAAATTGAAGCATACTGAAAAAGATATCGAAATAATAATTATATGATATTAAAAAAATACTTTACCACATTGTGGAGTTTCGGGTCCAACTTCAGGAGTTGTTGGGTTGGGTTGGGTTGGTCGTGGTGTTGGTCGTGTAATTGGTGGGAGAGGGTAGAAAAATTTTTGTTGGCCTAAAACATAATAAAAATAACAAATAAAAATATTCTAAATAAATATCATATTTACGTTCTGCAAGAGCTGCACAACACATTGCAACAACAAGAAAAGTTAGTGTTAGTTTACTCATTTTAGCTGGAATATTTAACTTGGAATGAAACTTTTAAACTAACGCGAAGTTTTTATACTAATTTTAAGTAATAATTAATTTTTAATAAGGCACGATTTTTTAACAACAACCCGCATATACATTAAAAATTATCTTTATTATTCTAAGTACAACAAAATGTTTTTAAAACAACCAAAGATTTAATCGCTTCAATAAAAATTGATTTAATGACTTTTTCTAGAGTTACTGAAACATTGTAAACGTATTTTAGAGTCTCGTTTTACGTGTATTTTTTTATCCACCGCGGTCCGTTTTGTTGTAAAATTCGGTAGCGCCTCGGAAAACAACATATACATAACATGTGTTCACGAACCGGTCAGATGAACATTTTCCGAATGGACAACGTTTCTGCCAGCTAACTTTTTTAGGCTTTCTCTCTCGTTGCGGAATTGTTGAATTCACCCCGTGTGAACTGTAGCGGCAAGAAATTTGATCAAACGATTCGAAATTAATAAACATATCGAATATTGAGAAATTTACGATTAATTTTCACTTCAATGAATTATTCTATTAAGTTTCTGTTTAATAAAAAAATATGTTTCAGTGTTTTTGTATTCGCCATTTAAGGTTTTAATGAAAACTTGCAGCATTAATTGCTGATCTCAAACCAAAAGAGAAATCTGAAAACTGACTCATCGAAACAATCTGGCATAACATTAAGACCGCACATTATAGAATATATTGCAATACCAACACTGTGATATTGGTTGCATACTTGCAATGATGACGTCGGGTAAGATAATTAATTAACTCACTGTATATATATTATATATGCCTATATATACTATAGCCATTGAGTTTTAATTAATTGAAGGATTAATAAATGATCTATTAATAATCTAAAATTTATTTATTTAAGATTAATTGATAATACATACTACTAATATATATATATATATACAGGTGTCCCGCAACGATTGTACAATACTGTATCAGCGTATTCTCTGATCGAAAACAGACAAGAAAAGTCTAATAAACATAGGTCCGAAAATGGACCAATTTCGAGATATTCAAAGTTTTAGTTTCATAAGCTGACCTATTGTAAACATCATTAATTCTAACGATTTAGATGCAGTAATTATATGATTACCATGGTTACGATGGTTAAGATAAAGTTTAATAAATAATAAGATAATATTAAGTTAATTAATACAGTTCATTAATAATTTAACAAAACAAGTAACAAAGATTGTCGAAGAAAATCGTTCAACCAGCATAAAAACAACGAATATTTAACAAATTGGAAAAGATTCATGTCATAATAAATGTTCAATATGCGCACCATTTACTTCTAAACACAAACGGATACGTTTTCTAAATGAACTTCTAATGCGTTCAAAGATACCAGGAATTTGTTTTACTGTGTCAAATGCGTTACTAATTTTATTCTTCAAATCCTGCACATTTTGAACGTCTTCAGAATAAACAATTTGTTTTAAATGTCCCCAAAACCAAAAATCTAACGGATTTAAATCTGGTGAACGAGGTGGCCCTCCTCGGCCAATCCACTTATTGCCAAATCTGTTATTTAAGTATGCTCGAGTAGCGCGTGCATAATCGTGCATAAAGTAGCAATCTTCTAGAATTTGTTGAGGTAATTCATCAAATGCCTCTGTAAGGTCATTTTGTAAAAAATGTATGTAGGCATCGGCTGTCAATCTCTTTGGAAGAAAAAATGGACCTAATAACTGATCACCTATAACTCCAGCCCATACATTAACACTGAATCGCCACTGATGATGAGTTTCTAGTATTGCATGGGGATTTTCATCGCTCCAAACGTGCGCATTATGAATATTAAAAATTCCGCTTTGAGTAAATGTTGCTTCATCCGTAAATACAATGTTTATGGGAAAGTCGACGTTTACTACCTCTTCCTGTATGGCCCACCTACAAAAAATCTCTCTTTTTTCGCCATCATTTTCTGTTAGAGCTTGAACGGTGTTGTAATGATAAGGATAAAGCAACTGCTCCCTTAAAATGCGGTGAACGGTTGTTTTGTTAATGTTTTCTTGTGCAGAAATTCTTCTAATGCTGGTTGAGGCATTTTCATCGACTCTTCTCAAAACTGCTTCTTCTAATTCCACCGGCCTTGTGTAATGTCTCTCCGTGGAATGGCTGTGGGTTACGCTTCCCGTTTCTTTTAATCTGAGAAATAGTCTGCTAAAGGTGTGACTATTAGGCAATCGTCTGTTCGGGAACCTTTGCGCGTAATGACGAGCTGCTAACGACGCATTTCCATCAGCTAGTCCGTAACAATACACCATATCCGCCATCTCTTCCTTGGAGTAATTAATAGGAGCCATACTTAATAGTTTTATTAAATTAAATAGTAAAATAATAATTTCGTGAAGTATTATTATTTTTTTTTGATTAGACAACTTATCGTAATCATAGTAACGACTTAATTATTATAAAAACAAATTTAAATTCATGATGTTAACAATATCAACTTATGAAACTAAATCTTTGAATATCTCGAAAATGGTCCATTTTCGGACCTATGTTTATTAGGCTTTTTTTGTTTATTTTTGATCATAGAATACGCTGATACAGTTTTGTACAATCGTTGCGGGACACCCTGTATATATATATAAAATAAATGATTAAATTAATTAGATTCCATACTCAAATAATATTGTCCTGATGCACTAAAAACAAAAAAAAAATATAAAATCCTTAAACACAATCGATTTTATTCTTACCTTCTATCAACATCGAATCCTCCCATTAATGATTTTGAGTTTTCATCACATTGATGTTGTTGGTAGTTTTTGTAACTGTCACATTGTGTGGCGACATAATTTTCTTGATAAATTGAAAGGGCATAAATTTCATAAGATTTGCTATGAGAACATGTTCCGAATATATCTAAACCACAGTCATGTTGTTTTTCCCCTCCATCAGGATAATAATCGGCATGTCCAATTGGTGAGCTAAACCCTAAGTGTTTGGCGTTGGTGTGGATGACATGAACGAACTCTGCATCACTTCGATCTAAGCGGTTATCGGTGTTTGAGATGGTAAATAAGGGTCCTGCTGGATCCAAACCAACTATGGAATGAAGCCCTTGGACGTTTGCTCCGATACAGCCTGCGATATGCGCGCCTAAACTATGACCGATTAGGTAGAACTGAGATTTAGGGATTTGATACAAAGTGATCATTTGATTGATATAATCCCCCACAATTTTTCCTATTTTTGGAACAGAAAACGTTGCTAACACATATAATCCCCCCGCCGGTTTGCTCCAATCAACAACGAAAACATTGACATCTTCTTTCCTTAAAACAGCATTCCGAATTTTGTTATTTATATCGCTTTCGTGATTACATTTCCAACCGTGAATGATAAAAACGTGCTTTTTGCTTGGATCGTAATGAATAGTTTCTGATAAATCCGTATTATGCGTCGGAATTTTGATTGGTGAGTAATTGTATCTCGTATAAAAGTAAAGATTGATGTCGGAAGTTGATACTTTGAATGATGGATCTGGTGGGATCGTTAAATCTTCTTCGTAACCCTCACGAACTAACGTTTTTATTCTGAATATGTCATCTTCATCTAAGGAATAAAGTTATATTAAAAATATATTTAAAAAAAAATTTATTGTATTACTTACCTGTCGCGAATGATAAAGTAATTAAGTAACAAAGAAGTGCTATTTTGAACATATTCAAAGTTTGAAATGGAACTAATTAAAAATATGATTTTAGTGTCGAGTATATATATGCATGATAATTATGTGTTGAAATGAATTTTCATTGAATTTTTTAATTTCGCGTGAATGATAATTTCGATATTTTTATACAACCAAGTTTGTTATCAATTGTTTGTTTAAAATAGTTGATGGATTATTATTATTACAAATTGAAATGTGATGTTGAAAAATATTGGCACGTGACATTTAAATTGGTTTTTGTTGGTCAGATAGAACAAAGAAATGGTGTATCGGGTACTAAAAGACATAGGATCGGTAAATCAGTGTGGTCTATCTATTTGTACAAGCCTTTATGCGCAAGCTAAGTGACTAATGGTGTCACAAACTACTTTAATTAATTCACCACGGCAAAAGCTGATAAGGACGATAAGGGGTGCTGTCATCTGCGTTCCTGCGTCCTCAACCCCTTTAACTCAATTGGATGCCACTTAATTGTAAGTGGAACGGTTGGATTTAATTCTTATCATTAGATGAGTTTCCCTTTAAAGGTTTAAAGCCGCGATTTTTGAAACAAAACGTTCAAGGTGTAGATGGTTATCTTGGATGGGATTTATTACCGCTCAGTTTAGGGGTTTTGTAAAACACAAGCGCGGTCAGTCCACCCTCGTTCTTGGCCGTTTATGGGCTTGTATTTAAATTGTGGAGATACGCACGGCGCGCCTGGCGTCCTAAATCTTCTCTTTCAATCAATACGGTGGACCACATGCATAGCTAAGCGTGAAAAAAAGAAAAAAGAAAAAAAGAACCAACTTGAAGGGGTTGGATTTGAAATTCCATTGTACTGGGTGAAATAAAATTGATTTAAACCAAGATAATGTAACTCAAGGTGTTTCTTTAACACGGTTTTGGAGTCCCCCCACAATAGATTCAAATTTATTCACAGTTTTTCGTCTTCGAGCCGCCCTCTTCGACTAATTCTCATTTTTACAGGGCGGAATATAAAAACGGGATTTTATTGCGCATAGTTTCGGGTCTAGACGAAATTGGGAATATCCATAAGGTTGGTTTTAGAAGATGCGATCGCAGTGCACGGATCTTGTTCCCGACTGTAAGAGTCAACGTTATTTACTGTTACATAAAATGGTTTTTATATCGTAACCGATATTCCTCTTCGAGTTTATAGGCGCGGCTTTCGGTGACAATCGATAGTAAAAAACGTAACGGCCTACAAGTCTTCTAGGGCATCCTTTTTTTTTGGGTTCCATTGCGGATCGGAAATATTTATTGGTTGTGGATTAAATTTCGCGTTTCGAATACCAGCGTAAGCAACGCGGAAGTTAAATACCGCCGAAATTCCTACCGTTGGGTTTATTTTTCAACTGGAATTCTGAAAACATAAGCTCTAATAACCTGTGTCTATATGTACGAGCACGATTAGCGCGTAGGATGTTGGTGTACGTAGTGGTCCTTAAACAGGCTTGAAATTAGATTCATCCCCCAGTATTTTACATGCGTAGGGAACGGTAAACAGAGTGTAACCGAAGATAACGCGGGATTAGAGGGCTTTATTAAATATTCTCGTCATTCGTTGCCCAAAGGATTCTTTTAATTAAAGGGGATTTGTGGGGACGACGGGTTTTCGGACGAACTTACCCAACATCAAATATTAACCGGTGTCCACGGATCCGGTCTGAAAGCATCGCTCTCTTTGGCATCGACATGGAAATTAGGCTGCCAAAGAATAAAAGAAAAGATCCTTTTCGTACGTCGAAAAAGGCGAGAATTTTTTAGGAAACCATCATAACGCCTCTTTGTGCTTTTTTAGGGCTTCCATAACGACTGCGAATGAAACACCAAATTTTAAATATTTCCTTATAACTCTTGCTATAGCACATTACGCCAAGTAATCTATAATTGCAGACCTCCTTCAAACTCTTCAAGTTTCATTTTCGCCATACAACGTAGAAGCGGAAAAGCTTACGCGCTCGTTATGACCTTTAACCTTCCTACGTTAAGGCACTTTATGTATACGCCCATTAAACTTCATTGTACCACCCAAACGATTGTGTAACTTAACTTTTAGCCAACATATTACAAGCTTCCATACGTAAAGTTGTTATTAAAAAAATTGAAATAGAAAATAAATAAATAATATTTACAAGATATTTCAATATTTCAAAAGTGATGTTTATATATTGTTCGTTCGTTTATTTGCATAGCCTATTGACCGTTCGCCACCGACTCTTCGACCGATTTTCTTTATTTGCAATCGGATTCAAACAGTTTTACCAAACTAAACATCACCGGCAAATATTTGAGGCGCCGCTCATAGCGGTTGTGGGAGTGCTTTTGAAACAAGCGCGAAAATCGCGGTTTATTTCAATGGGATGGTGCTGCCGGGTACAACCGCCTTGATAAAGACGCGATGTCGTGCCAAGGGCATATAAAAATTTATGTGTGGCTCATTAATTTCGTTTTCGGTAATATACAAGGGGTTTACACGGGCAAAAAGCGCGCCGTCGCATTTACGATCGTCGCGTTTTATATCTGGGCCGTTTATGCAAAGCGTTATGGCCGAGTTAAATTATGATTTATCGGTTTCCGATCGCCAATTAATTCAGCGCCTTTTTTATTTTAAACCAGCCACGCCGATTAGAAATCCACTAAATAACGGCAGCTTGGCAACAATGTCCGACAGCTTTTGCGTAATTTAATCATGGCATTTTTTTATTATTCACCTTTATAACGGATATTATATATACAGCCTGATTCAGAGTAAGCGCCTTATTTTTTTTTAGCCACACTATGGGTACTACTTTCAAAATATTTGGCAGTAATATGTTTTGGGTCATTCTCTACACGATGGTGATGCCCATATATATACTATCTCCTATATCGCTGACTAAGGCAGCAAAAGAGTGTAAACACTAGAGTGCAGATATATATATATCTGTCTCTGTCGTGCCCCCGTCTACTCAAGAGACATGCGTGAACACGTGGTGAGTACGCTTTTATCTTATTGGACGGTGAATTAAAAATTAATAGCAGCTGATGACCTTGATGTTTATAAATCACCAAATAAATGTTTGACATAAACATAACCTAAAATCTAAATATTTAGTTATGTATATTATAGGTTTCATGTGTATAATAACATAATTATTAACATATTTTAGGACTAAGCAATTTAAAATGTAATTATTATTTGTTAAGAAAGTGAAGAAAATTTGTTAAAAGTAAAATAAAAAAGAAAAAGAGTAGGGGAGATATTTTTGGGGCCTAAAAATTGGTTGAGCAGGTAGAAGGAAAGATCTCAGTGTAATAAAAAAGAATTCAAAGCCCTCCTTTTCTTGAAACATTTTTCTTAAAAATTTAATTAATAATTACATCGATATGATGAAAATTTTATGATAGAATATTATGTACATTAAATAGTAAGTACCCTAAGTACATATTTTATATCTTTAATTAATGTAACAACTTCATTAAAGGGCGTGAACTCACAAATTATGTTAAAAATTAATAACTATATTTTGGTACACATTT